TTTGGAGCGCCGTGACCACCGCTGCCGGGAACCGCAGTGCTGCCAGCCAAGGCAATGGCACTGCAATGCTTGCACTGCTGTCCCAGCAGCGTGGCCTGGAGGTGAACATCAGGCTGTGGAGGTGTTTTCTTCAATGCCCCACAAAGCCCGACCATGTTCTAGTGTGGTCCCTAGGCCAGAGCTCTTGGCTCGTGAAGTGCACTGTCCTCTGGAGAGGCTGCTTTGCTCCGGCATGGCTGCCCACCCCGCTGCAAGTCTTGGGCTTCCAGTCATCCCTTCTACAGGGCCAAGCACGGCTGCACGGGTGCCCACAGCTCTACTGCCTGCTCTCCATCTCCCGGAGCTGTGTGTCCTTTAAGCCAGCAGTGCTGAGGAAGGGACTTTCACCAAACCGCTCACAATCTCTCCAGCTCGACACCAAAGTTTGGAGGGGGATATTTGGCCAGCAGAGCTTTTCCCCTAGCCCCCAGCCAGCCAGCTGGAGGGCTGGGAAGGGAGCCAGGGTGCCGAGCTCTGGCTACTTGCTTATCTCCGCGTGGGCTGCGCTCCCTGGGCGGCACAGTGTGCTGAGCCCAGCCATGTCCTTGAGGGCTCCATTTCAAGAGCGGTCCCAGCCCCTTCAGCCTCTGGAGGTGGGGGAGGGATCTGCTCTCCCTCTCAAGGACAGGCTGCATTAACCATCAGGTGACTGGCCACCGAGCTCAGCAGATGCCTGCAGCTCAGTGGAGTGGGACAGGATGGCATCGTTCCTTCCCCAGGAACTCTTTTCTCTTTTCCTTTGGCCCATGAGAGAGCAAGGAACAGAGCTGGAGTGAAATGGCTTCTGGGGGAGACTCGCTCCCTCCTTCTGTATGTGAAGTCCCCTGCAGCGAGGGAAGAGAAGGGCCTGTGTGTGGGGCGGTTGGTGACTCGTGCTCCCTGCTTGTCTCCTGGTTCGCAGGCTTTAGGATGCTGGGCCCGGCGGGGTTAGGCCTGCCCACGTGATCCTCGGCGCCCGCTCCTGCTGCTGACCCACCATGCTGCGCTCCTGGCGCGTGAAGCTGAAGCTGCTGCTCGCCACGGTGACCCTGGCCGTCCTCCTCTCCTGGCTCTACTTCTTTGTGGGCAGTCTTGAATGTGAGTGGGGCAAGACGGGGCTCCTGGGTTGTCCTTCTGGCCGTGTCCCTTTTGGAGCAAGGGAAGCCCCACCCAGAATGGGGTGAACAAGGCAGGCCAAGGCCTTGGGGTGTCTGCTGTGTGACTATGTAATTCCCTGTGGACATATGTGACCTCCAGCCTTCCACGGGCATCCCTGAGGCCTGGAGAAGCAGAGCTCCGAGTGTCTAATATACATAGGGTGCCCCAGGGCCCCTTAACTTGGGGCACTCTGCACACTTGGCGCCGCGTTGCTGAGCTCCGCGCTGGGGGTTCTCTTTGCCCTGCTTCACATGCTCTGTGTACGTCGCTGCAGACGGCCGCTTCCTCCTGCTGCCACCGTGCCTGGGCGAGCAGCTGAGCCAGGACGTGGAGCGCGAGGCGCTGGCGTCGCAGGTGCGCAGGGTGGAGGAGGAGAACCAGCAGCTCCGCCTGCAGCTCGGCCAGGCGCAGGCGGACGGCAGCGATGGCAGCCCTCCATGGGGAGCCTCCGCCGAGGACGGGGAGAGCAGCAACCGCACGGCCTGCCCCAAGCAGCGGACGGTGCACAAGTGTGAGGTGTGCGGGCAGCGAGGCTGCGGGGGCACGAGGGTGGGAAGTCGTGTCTGAGAGCGTCTTGCTTCTCAGAAGAGGGAAACCTGGCAGGAAAGGGGCAGCAGGGCCAGTTTCTTGGGCCCTGCTCTGATCTGTTCCTCCCTCAGGACCTCCGTTGCCCTGGGGGAAGAGCTGGGTTATGGAGTCCCTTCCTGTAGAGTGGCCTGAGGGATGATCTGACAGGCTCTTGTGTAAGACTCCTGTCTCAAAGAGGTGTCATTTGTCTCTGGACAGCTCCTGCACGTAGCGATTGTGTGCGCTGGGCACAATGCCAGCAGGGATGTGGTCACCCTGGTGAAATCCATCCTCTTCCACAGGTAAGAGGATGTGCTGTGGCAGAGGCCCACCTATCTGGGGTTCCTGGTGAGCTGTTGCAGGCTGCAGGGGAGGCTGGGCCACAGAGAGGGCTGCTGCATCATTGCTGCTGAGGCTTAGAGGGAAGGAGGGAGATTTTTCCTTCCTCAGGGTGATTTTTCTCAAAGGAGCCCCTCAGCTGCTGTCTGTCCCCCTGGCAGGGCTGGGGTGGGGGAGCAGGGACCATGTCCCTCTGAGGTGGTTGTTTCCTGCTGCTAAGGTGCTAAGCACTGCTGCACTTGCCCTTGCCAGGAAAAATCCTCTTCATTTTCACCTCATCACCGACTCAGTGGCTCAGCAGATCCTCCAGACACTCTTCCAGTCCTGGATGGTGCCCTCTGTCCACGTCAGCTTCTACAACGCCGAGGACTTGAAGGCAGGCATTCAACCCCATGCCACCCTTTCCCCACTGTCTTTCCCAACTCAGTGCTTGAAAGGCTGAGAAGAGACCAAAGAGAAGCAGAGGGTTATACATTCTTCTTCTGCTGGTCCCTTGCTTGCCTACTCCCCTTTCTGAGAGATGGACAAAGCAGAGGGACAGGCTGGGAGGGCAAGAGCTTCTTCTGAACCACCATGAGGCTGGAAGGCCTTCAAGTAGGGCACTGAGGGCTGCTGCGGGAAGGTGACAGGATGCCCCAAATACAGTGGTTATGAGGTGCTCTCACAGGGAGGCTGGGAGAGGGTCTTGCAGGAGGTGCAGGGAAAAGGGCTATTCCAGCACACAGGCAGTGCAGATGGCACAGGCAGAGGAAGGAGGCTGTGTGTGCCCCCATGGCAGCACCTGGGCTGTGCAGGATCTGGGACACTGGCTGTGAGATGGCAGCAAATGCAACTTGCTGAGGGCACCTTGCTTCCCCCTGGATGTGAAACAGGGACCTGGGGCCTTGCTTAGCCTAGGAATTTAGATGTGGCTCCGTGCTAGGCCCTGAGGGCCTGCAGGAAGGTGCTGGCCCTGCAGCTTGGTGAGGAGCCTGCCACTGGGCTTGGGTAGCAGCCATGCCCTTGCTGGCCTCCTGTGCATGGAGGTGCTGGGCATGCACAGCCGCGCCACCCAGGCACGGTGACAGCATCTCCATGGCTCAGCAGTGAGGCTGTGTCACCTTGCAGCCAGAGGTGTCCTGGATCCCCAACAAGCACTACTCAGGCATCTATGGGCTGATGAAGCTGACGCTTGCCAAGGCGCTGCCCTCCAGCCTCTCCAAGGTCATCGTCTTGGACACTGACATCACCTTCGCCACCGACATTGCTGAGCTCTGGGCCATCTTCGGGAAGTTCTCTGGTGAGGACAGAGCACCCCTGGGATCCACTGTGGCAGGGCGCCTGCCCCTGTGAGCCCGCTGCTCTCTCAGGGGGTGGGTCCCAGTGTCACCCCAGCTACGCAGCGGGTTTGCGGGGGGCTCCTGAACCTGTGCCAAGATAGGCCGTATGCATGTCCCTCTCTTCCCTCAGACAAGCAGGTGATTGGGCTGGTAGAGAATCAAAGCGACTGGTATTTGGGCAACCTCTGGAAGAACCACAAACCGTGGCCCGCTCTGGGACGTGGCTTCAACACGGGTGAGTGTGGGCCTGCTGGGGTGCAGGGACAAGCACCCCGTGTGACCAGATGAAGTGGGTTTGGTGAGGGAGGAGGCTGGGCTGAACTGGGCTGGGGTGAGGCAGGAGTGTCTGCGTGAGAAGGGCTGCTGCTGCTACTGCTGCAGCTTAGGGGATGGCATGCAGAACGTGGCTCAGGAGCTGAGGGCAGGCTGTGCTTCAGCTCTGAACTAGCTGGGTGCCCCCTCAGTAACTCAGCGGCCTCTCTTCTGGCACCCAGGAGTGATCCTGCTGCTGCTGGAGCGCCTGCGGCGCCTGGGCTGGGAGCAGACGTGGCGGCTGACGGCGGAGCGGGAGCTCATGAGCATGCTCTCCACCTCGCTGGCTGATCAGGTGACAGTCCCTTCCCCGGGCTAGTCAGCCCTGGGGCATTTCTGTAGTGTTGCCAGCATGTGGGGGCTGTGATGCCTCCTTGGCTAGCTGTGCACCCATCTGCCTCTCTCCTAGGACATCTTTAATGCGGTTATCAAGCAGGACCCAGCCCTGGTGTACCGGCTCCCGTGCTTCTGGAACGTGCAGCTCTCTGATCACACCCGCTCCGAGCAGTGCTACACTGAGGTCTCGGATCTCAAGGTGAGTGGGGTTCCTCTGCCTCTGACTGACGCAGAAATTGGCCCCATTTGGGGCCCTGTGCTCTGCCTGGTAGGCGCTCCTGCCCTGCAGGGGAGGGGTGGAAGGCCTCAAGGATGGAGCATGTGTTGGAGGTCTGGAGGAGGCAGCGGTGGGCCTGGGGGCTTGGGAAGTGTTGAATGACATCTGTTTACCCTGCACGGAGTGACTTGCGTGGCCCCCAGGTGATCCACTGGAACTCCCCCAAGAAGCTGCGGGTGAAGAACAAGCATGTGGAGTTCTTCCGCAACCTCTACCTGACTTTCCTGGAGTACGATGGGAACCTGCTGCGCAGGGAGCTCTTCGGCTGTGCCAGCCTCCCCAGCCCTCCAAGCGACCAGGTGAGGTCACCTGCTGCTCTGCCCCCAGCCCCAGCGTAAGGCCTGGGCAGGGCCAGAAGGCACCTCCAGGCAGCTCTCTGGCTCACTTGGCATCTCCTTCCATGTCTCACCTTCGTGGCACTGCAGCTGCAGCAGGCGCTGGAGGAGTTGGACGAGGATGATCCCTGCTATGATTTCCGCCGGCAGCACCTCACACAGCACCGTGTCCATCTCTTCTTCCTGCAGTATGAGTTTCCAGCTCTTATTGATCCCACCGATGTCACCCTCGTGGCCCAGCTCTCCATGGACAGGTACTTGCCAGTGGCGCTTGTGGGATGGCAGCTTCTTCCTTCCGTTTTCACTGGGCTGACTGCACACCTCAGGAGCTACCTGGAATCTCTGATGGCGGTTCGTCACTGTGAGAACAGAACTTTACTGCCAAGAGCGAGGCCCACACTCCTCCTTCCCACACTGCTCTTGGCCAGACATGGCTCCCAGTTTTGTGTTCAGGTTCTGTTCCTTACCCATCAGCCAGGAAGGGCAGTATTGTTGCTGTGAATCATCTGTTTCTTTCTGCTGTGGGTTGGAAGCCTCACCTCTGTGGCAAACTACTTTTTTTTTTCTTTTTTTCCTGCGTTGGACAAAGGTTTAGCAAGTTGCTGGTCACTTCAGCACTGCTGGTGGTATATACCAAGTACCTGGTCACCTTCCTGAAGTGCTTCCTCCCAGTCCGCTGTAATTCCATCAGGTTGTAGGTCTTGAAACTGAGCTATCCTGAAGGGTAAATGTTTGGAAGCAGGTCAAAACCACCAAATCCAGCTTTTAAGCAAATTTCCTCCAGAGACTTTGGTGAGGAACTACTGAGACCTGTTTTCACTCAGTCCCAAGAGAAGCCAAGACATGTAGGGAACTTGTGGTGAGATTCAGGCCCACTGAGCTGCGATTAACCTAGTGCCCTGCAGTGGAATTAGTCTGGGCTTGTGAGGAGAGGATGGTGGGGACTACTCCAGGCGTTTTTGCACCCTTGGTTTGGCCAAGTTCGCACCGGGCAGGGCTCCTGCTCACACAGTGCCCTCTGCTTCGCAGGTTACAGATGTTGGAGGCTATCTGCAAGCACTGGGCAGGCCCCATCAGCCTAGCACTGTACATGTCCGATGCAGAGGCTCAGCAGTTCCTGCGCTATGCCCAGGCCTCGGAGGTGCTCAGCGCCCGCCGCAATGTCGCCTACCACATCGTCTACAAGGAGGGCCAGTTCTACCCCATCAACCTCCTGCGCAACGTGGCCTTGGCCAACACACAGACGCCCTATGTCTTTCTGACAGACATTGACTTCCTCCCTATGTACGGCCTGTACGATTACCTCAGGTAGGGCCTCTCCCAGGCAGCCGCTGGGCTCCCCACATACCAGGGCTTGCCTGTACATTGGGTAGCGTTCTCAGCCTGCAGAAACTTTCCTTTCTGTTCAGCCTTGGGCTATGCTCTCAGACATGCCAGATACGAGTGGACTGGGAAGAAGCTGTGGCCGTGAGGGGATTCCCTATTCCTCCTGTGCCTGTGTGGCACCCTAAAAGGGCCTAACCCCTTTTTACAGCTATGGGTGGGGTGCAGGGACTGAGAGGGGGGCTGTACCCACACTTTTTGGCTTTCCCAGTGAGGTCTCATGCTCTTCCTCCTGCCATAGGAACTCTATCCAGCAGCTGGAGCTGCCCAACAGGAAGGCAGCTCTTGTTGTGCCAGCCTTTGAGACCCTGCACTACCGCCTGACCTTCCCCAAATCCAAAGCAGAGCTGCTCTCCATGCTGGACATGGGCTCTCTCTACACCTTCAGGTGGGTCCTGGGACTGCCCCACTCCAGCAGGGCTGCCACATGCGGCGCCCTGTGTCTTGTGACTCTGGTACTGCCAGGTCTGACACTTTTTCCTGGTGTCTCGTTCCCATCCTTGTCCACAGGTATCATGTGTGGCCAAAAGGCCATGCCCCAACTGACTATGCCAAGTGGCGGACGGCCACCGTGCCATACCGTGTTGAGTGGCAGCCAGACTTCGAGCCTTACGTTGTAGTGAGGCGAGACTGCCCCAAGTACGACCAGAGGTTCGTGGGCTTTGGCTGGAACAAAGTGTCCCACATTATGGAGCTGGATGCACAGGTGTGTGAGGGGCTGCTCTGGGCACAGTGACACTGGGGCTGCTGGGAGAGGTCCCGGGTGGGCAGTGGAGCACTGGTAACACCACGCCGGTACCAGGGGTGATGGATGCCACTCTGCCCTCAGGAGTACGAGCTGCTGGTCCTGCCCAACGCCTTCATGATCCACATGCCCCACGCCCCCAGCTTCGACATCTCCAAGTTCCGCCTGAGCGCGGGCTACCGAGGCTGCCTGCAGACGCTGCGCGAGGAGTTCCACCAGGACCTGTCGCGCAAGTACGGCGCCGCCGCGCTCAAGTACCTCACCGCCGAGCGGGGCCTGTGACGCCGGGGGCAGCAGTGTGGGGCGCTGGCAGCGGGCTGCAGCGGGGAGGCTGCAGGGCCTCCCGCCCGCCCTGGCCAACCTCCATAGCCTTGCCTGAGGAAACCGAGCGGGCGGCGCAGCCTCTCCAGCCCGGGGACGGGATGCTGGTGGCCAAGACGGAAGATGCCAGCTGTGAGAGGACGGGAGGAGACTTGTGTATCAGACTGACACAGCATGGGGCAGAGCAGCTGCCTTCGTGTTACGGTGTGGGGGAACCTTCTCCCATGTCAGGGACCAGGGGGACTGGGCTCCCTCATCCCATTGCCAGGGCCCTGAACAAGGTTAATGTGCTGGTGCTGGGACTCTTCTACAGGTTCCCTGCAATGTTAGTCCCAGCCTCAGACATCTCCCCAGTAGGAAGTTTTGACTGATGTGGATTCACAGCTTTCGCTGGTTCACCTCTGCCTGGGGCCAGGCTCCTTCAGGCCCCTGGGAGCTGCACATGGGAGCTGCCCTGCTCTGCCTCCTTGTTCTGTGGTCCCTGTTCCCAGTTCTCGGCACTGAGCCTCTGGAGCTTTGGTGAGCGGGACAGGGGATGTACAACATCCTCTGTGGAGCAGGATCAGACAAGAGGGAGGTAGAGCCAGAGATTACCATGAGTTGTGGACTTCTGGCTCAAGCCAGGACCAAGGTTGGCTGGTAGAAAGGATGTTGTTTCTCCATGCCCCTGTGGAGACGAAATCTCCCATGTGTCTGTTCCCGTACTGGTGTCATGAGCACAAAGCTGGGCTATCTGTGCTCCCAGGCCCCGCTCCTCCTGTCTCTGCAGGAAGCAGCCCTGACTGTGACGGGCACTACCTGGGGCCAACAGTGCCCAGCATGGTACGGCTGTGACCCAAGCGTGGCCACAGCAGTGCTCATAGAGGCAGCCTATTGGTCCTTGTCCTCATGGCATAGCACCGACAGCAGGTTACACGGCAGGTTTTTGTGCAAGACACCAGTCAGCTGCTCATCACTGTGCTCAGTTTGGGCACTGAAAAGTCCCACCTTTATGTAAAGGAAAGCAAGGTGATGCGTTGTTGGGAGGACTGACACCACCAAGCGCCGTCCATCCTTGCAGGCATGAGTGGGCTCTGTGCAGGCAGAGTCCAGCTTCGCCCTGCTGGTGGCTGCACAGGTGCTGCTGGGGGCTGCGGCTGTGGTCAGGGGCTGGGCTTCCTAACACACTCAGCCCCTGCCCCTGCCCCTGCTGCAGAGCTGACCTGAGGTGATTTTTCAGCGCTGGTGACCACTGTGGGACAAACCACTGAGCCCCTGCAGCCACAGGGATGGGTGAAATTGCATCTTGGTGGGCCAGATAAACTCGCAGAGGAGCACCCTGAGCCTCCCTGACTCTTGGGAATGCAGATGCCACTGACAATCAGGGCTGTGGTCAGCACTGGAAGAGCCTGCAGCTGAGCGCTGTGGCTGGATCCCTGCGCTGGGAGCAGCTTGGCTAGGCACTGTTTTACAGCTATCACAACACTGGAGCACAGAGGACGCATTGCTTTCCTCACGCTATTTATATTATTTAAAACATATCTCATAAGATGTAAATGATTAGAGTGTTTTTTTTTTTAATCCTTTCTTCCTCCCGGATGATTCTGCTGGTGGCTATGGAGGATCTCCAGGCCTGTCACTGCTGCAGTCGCTGCTCTTCTCTTCTTAGCATTATTCTGATCTGCAAGAGCCACATCTGTGCAGGTGTGAAGACTTCCGTCCATGGTGGGAATGGCTAGGAGGAGCCATACACATTGCAGTGTATGGAAAGGGCACAAGCGCCTCTTGCTTTTTTTTCTCTTTTTAATTTAATTTTTAAATTAAAGCTTTTTTTATTCTTTTTCAAAACTTTGCTAGAATTGTGTGGTTATTACTCTTTTTTTTTTTCTTTTCTATTGCGAGCTGCAGGGGTCCCCTGGAGAGGCAGTTTGCTAGAGGGGAGACATGCTTTCTGCAGCCAAGGCTCAGGCTACCACTGTCCGGTAGCTGTTTGAAGCCTCTCTCTGGCCTGTGCAGAAGGAAGGTTGTGGAGCAGGGACCAACAGCTGGTAGAAGAAATGCCAGCGTCCCCAAGCAGCAGGTGAGCCGTTCCTTTCCTAGCTCAAAAGGAGGTTCACAGACCCCCCCCACTAACATCAGCTTGAGCCCGTGGTTACTGGTGCAGCTGCAGGCTGCATCCTGCATCTGCTGACTACTGCCCTTCCCCTGGCATTTGTTGACTGAACTGTTTGCTCATCCAGTCAGTTTAACCAAGCACAAGTAAAAAAAGAGGTGTATTTTCTTGCTCTGGCAGTTGCTGCAGCTTTTGTCTCAGAGGCCACAGTCCCATTGTAGCCGTGAGGTGGTCTCAGGGCCTCCTGTACACCCACACTCATGTCTGCACCCTTGCAAACCAGGTTGGGACGGGTGGCTGGTCCCCCGCTCAGGTCACGATGCTGGAAGCAGATCTTAGTTCCTCTAAGGAGCTATCCCCGCTTCTGTGGAGTGAGGTAGGGGTTTGCCAGAAGCGTGTTGTGCTTTGGGGCTTTATTTGGGAATGTGCTGTAAAGATGGTGCTAATCATAGTGAAGCGAGCCATAGCTGCTCCATGAGAGAAGCTGGACCCAACTAGCCCCAGCAGGCAGTTCTTGTTTAATATAGCAGCTCTCACTGTTACCACTCTGCTTCTGCGCTGAGGACAGCAGAGTTTTAGTTCAGGTTTGGCCCATACTTTGTCCCTCTAAGGCCTGCTTGCTGCTGAAGACACAGTAGTGCAGTAATGCTGGGAAGACGAGGGCTCTTTTGGCCATGTCTTTGAGGGATGGATGTCCAGAGAAACACTGGACATCTGTAGTTGCTTCTGCTTTGGGGCCTGCAAGAGGGTGTGCAGCTAGGCCTGTGCCATGCTGGCAGAATTTTCAGATAAGCCTTGCTGATTTAGGCATGCCTTAGCCCAACCCGTGCAGAAAAGGGGAATGCCTTTCCAAGACCCAAGAATAAACGAGGTTTTAGTCTCCATGTGCCCTCTGCTGGACGGGAGGAGCTGGAGGGAACGGCTGATGAGCGCCTGAGGTGATTTTCCTCACACAGCCCCTTTTATAGCGCTAAAATCCGCTCCGCTAAGCGCAGCACCTTCCGCCTGCCAAGAAACGAGCCTCGCAGCGGGGCCCGCGCGGCCATTTTGCAGCGCTGCACTCTGAGCTCCCTGCGGGGCCCGACACGTCACCCCCGCAGGCCACGCGTGCCGCTGAGTGCCCCGCGGCCCCGGGGACAGAGGCCCCCGCCTGCGAAACACTGCTAAGGAGACGAGAGGTTTTACTGTGTTTTATTTAGTAAAATGTTAAAATAAATAAATACAAATTGATCAGATGCTCTGTGCCCCTCCCTCCCCCCCAGTTTAATCTGCTAAAATCTAAACACATTTGTACCAAAACTGAAACCACAAGGGACTTGAAGGCAGCAAAGAGACTGCAGATCACTATGAGCATCAGGCTAAAAAAAATAGAGATATTTAAAAAAAAACCCAAACCAGCTCACGAGTCAGTATTCTCATTATGTGATTCTGTGAAAACAAAGTGGTATCATTAAAAAAAAAAAAAAAAAAGGGTATTTTACACCAAGGCCTGCGATGATATGAGAGTCTCGGGGTCATGGAGGGCAGCACATGAGTCTGTCTGGCAGAAACATCATGGGGCAAGGAGGCTGCAGGTGTGGGCGGCTCTGGGACGCGACCGGCTACGACACAACCAGCTACAGACCCAACCGCCCCACGCAGCACGGGGCAGGCAGCTGCGCGGGGCCGCGCTCGCCTGTGTGTCATCCTTCCCGCAGACAAGCGCGGGAGCTGCGCTCTTGGTACAAGAGTCACTGATCCACCAGGCCCAGCTGTTTTCCTGTTTTCCACCCGCCCCCGCCACCCCCCCAAAAAAAAAACCTGGAAGCAGTTTTTCCCTCCTGCCACCTGGAAGCAGAGGTAACATGGGTCCTGTGCGAGCACAGGGTGGCAGCAGCTGGAGACCCAAGGGTTGTTAATAAAAAGCCTTTGGAGAAACTGAGGGTGGTTGGGAGCATCTGGGACACACAGCGCCTCTTGGTGCTCACGCACGGTCTCACCTTCCAGAGCCAGGATTGCATTTTGCAGCCTGGTGACATATTTGGTGGGAGGGAGTGGTGGGGTAGCCTTATCAACAAAGTCTGCTGAGAGGGTGATTCACAGGAACACAGTGACACAGTGGTCAAGGCCACATTATTTTCTCTGCAGCAGCAGAGCTCCCTTCACTGCCCTGTCTGCCCTAGGCTGCGGAAGACAAAGTGGTGCTTGCAGAGTGGGGCCCCGGCAAAGGATCAAATACCGCTCCGAAAGCCGCTCACTGGTGAGCCCTCCCCGACAAGCTGCTACTCACTGACACGCATTTCCCAGCACCAAACAGGCTTTTTTACTGCTGTTGCCACAGCAAAGAAGTTTCTTTCCAATGCGGGTGAGTGACCTAGCTGGGAAAGACCATGCAGGAAGCTAAACAGATCAGCACTAGCCCCCTGCCCCTTAATCTCTAGTGAACATAGCCTGCGATATGGCCTTGCCTCTCTGGGACTATTACATCAGGCCACGGCTCCCTGACAGCTGTTCTGTGGCAACCACACACGTTTTGGGATGAGGAGGTCCCTGAAGCTCCACGTGGTGCAGGACAGCCGTGCAGCGCGACCGCCCCGCAGGCCGGGCTCACGGGGCTGCCAGGCGCAGCCAGGGAGAGCGGAGGCTGCAGGGCAGCAGAGCCCCCTGCTTGCGGCTCCGGGCTGCCCGTCACACACAGTACCAGCAGTGACTCAGACACAGCGCGCTCAGGAAGGGAGCACTGACGGTAAGACAGTGCTCTGGCTACAGCATCAGCCACTCTTTTGGTGCCAAAGATAATTAAAGTGAAGAAACATACGAAACTGTGATCAGAAATTGCCCATGAGCCTAGGACAGGCAGAAGCATGCAGGCTCCTGCTGCTTCCAGCGCTGAGTGCTGCTGTACCTTCAGCCCTGCCTGTTCCTAGAGCCTGTGGCCCAAGAAAAACCTAGAGCTTTCTGAGCTGCCAAAACCGGTTTTGTGGAGGGGAAAGTGAGGCACGGAGGGGATCACGGTCCCTGGGCATTTGCCAGGGCCAACCTGCAAAGCTGCCCAAGTCATTGCTTCACTCCCTGCCCAAGCTGAGGCCACGAGGCCATTCTGATTGCGTACCAAGAGCAGGGCTTTCTCACACCTCGGATGCTTCGAGACATTTCTTCTACAACAAAACAGATAAAAGAAAGCAGGGGACAAAAGGGCAGAGTTCTACATTCCTCTCTCACAAATTTAGGAATAAAAAGATGTTGCCAATACCCTACATGGTGAGGATGTTGTTGAACCCAGCCAGCTGGTAATCCAGCCAGCTTCCCCACCACCCTCACATGCTGCCTCGCCCCCTGAGACACAGCCCGGCTTGTCAAGCTTTCTAATGACCCAGGCACTGCTGACATTAATAGCTAATAGGCCCTAAAGTACCTCCTCCTTTTTAGTCCTGGCCTGGGCTGGTCCTTCTATTTGGAACACGTGACACCAGCTTGAGCGTTACAAAGTGAAGGACAGACAGGCCGAGTTTGCTCTGCGGCCTACAAGCAAGATCCGGAGTGCAGGTTTCACAGCAGGGCCCCCGCGTGCGCTGCGGTCATGGCGCTGACACAACCCCTCAGCATTCTCCACGCTCCGCTCCTGAAGGTCACAGGAAGCTCAAATGCCCCTGTCCAGAGGAATGGGTGAACTGCCTCCCTGCCTGCGTCCCTAATGAAACCAGAGCCTATGGACAAACACGGCTGCATAAACAGGTTTTGGCACTGAACTGCCACACACGACGGCACAAGAGCAGGACCCTCACACAACTGAGGAGAGAGTTAAGTGACCCCTGACGCACACAGGTCCTGCCCGGCACCGTCTCTGCTCCCTCGGGATCCAGGGCACCCGCAGGCTGACACAGGTTCAGCTCAGTGGGTCACGCTGTGACTAGGAAGCAGTTTCACATTGGCAGAGCTGACTCTTTGGCTGCTCCCTGGTGTAATCCTAGCCAGGGAGAAAATTGTCACTCAGTTTGGTCCGGATTAGAGCAGAGAGGCTCCAGGTGCCCCAAGTTTTGCTTGACCTGCCTCATCCCACACTGTAGCGAAGAAGTCCACCAAGCCTCTGCTCAGGATGGGACGTGTGAGGCAGTAGAAGCAGAGCTAGGGGAGATCTGGTGGCTGCTTGCCCATCGGCAGCTCTTTTCTCCTACCACACTCTGTTCCTTTGGCTAACAGATCGAGTCAGAAAGTCAAGGCAAAATAAAGATCCTAATCTTTCCACTGAATCTTCAATCCTTATGACTGCAGAAACATCTCCTCATATATTGATCCCTCCTTTGCCTCTTCTGGATTTTTCCTACCCTGACTTTCCCTCCTCATCTGTTTCCATTTCTTCTCTCTGCTCTCCTTTGCCCCAATATAATCTTCCTTTCTTTTGGTCCTCCTTTCCTTTCTTTCGCCTCCAACTCTATGCCCTTCTCACTGCCCTTACTTGTATAACGAGGCTTCCCATCTTCCCTGTCCCTGTGGGCCCGCCTCTAGCACAAGGAGAGGAGAAGCCTCGTGCTGGTGGCTCTCAGGCGATAAACTCAGGCGCCTTACACAGCACAGCAGTTTTCACAGCTCTTCGTAGCTTGCTTCCAGTTCACTACTCATACGGTTTGGTAATACTGACAAGAGACACAGACAAGCCCTCACATGGGTAAGGTCTTGGTTTTCTAAAACAAGCCCACATCTTAAATTAACTTTCCTCTCCAGGAGAGGAATTTGTCTTATTATGGGTCTATAGTTACCAAGCTTACCAGTGCATGGTATAAATAATTTTCTTTATTGGCAAGTTTCAACTATGTGCTCAGCCTATACAAGACAATGATGCAGAAAGTTCTTGTCCCACATAAAAGATAAACATGGGAAAATGAGAGCTAAGGTGAGGGGAGATAGTAAGAGTCAATATTTTCAACTATTACATTCCATTTTGCAGGTGGTACAAACAGATCTGAGGCTTAGGGAAGAATCTGAGTGAGACAGCGATAACCTGGAGACAAGATGTCTGCAGCTCATGTGTTTTCCTGATCCCATCTGACTCTTAGGATCCCGTCTGATCCAGGTGTG